AAGGAAAGAGACATTTCACTCACAATTTCCTCCGCTGTCGATGCACAGTTGTCTGCCATATTCAAAACTGTAATCGTTTCTCTCGATGTTTACTTTTCTGCTCAGTGCTTTGCTTCCCCAAAGGTTTCTCAAATCCGGCCTCGAAGGACCATAATGTTCTGTTCAGACTACTAAAAGGTTTTGTTCCGACTACTAAAATAACTTGTTCAGACTACTAAAATAACTTCAAGCGAAAACCACATGTATTTTTATAGACCATAATAGTAACACAACAAAATGTCCTCAGTAGGGTGGTCCCGTCATAAGTCCAGTCTCACTGGGGGGCATGAGATCCTCCCACTACGGGTCCGGGCCCGAACAAAGCAACGATAAACTAATTATGTAAATCTTATTAGTATATACTAAAACAGTGGATTGCGTTGAAGGCGCGCTCTGATTGGCTAGTCAAACTCCGAACATCCTTTGCTATTTACCTCCGAGCAACTCGGGAAAAAATGGCGTCCCGGTTTGCATCCGTGACAAGCGAAGAAATCACTCAAATAAATTTTTGGTGGTGTATATTATCTCACTGTTTTAGTATATACTAAAACAACTATTTACCTCAGTGTCGGCGGTTAGCGGTGGGTATTTACCTCGCCGCTTCGCGGCTCGGTAAATATCCACCACTAACCACCTGCACTTCGGTGAATAGTTCTTAATTAAACAATGAAGAGCTGCTTCAGTTGGTGATCATTTCCTATATTCTCATGACCTTAATGTTTGGTTCAGGGGTGAAATTTTAAGGAGAAACTACATGCTCGTCACTCGAAGGGTTAAAGGGTTAGGGATCCAACGCATCGGTTATCTTACAGGACTTAACTTTCATTAAGAAAACTACGGATCTTTGGAGGGTTAATGCAATTCGTTTATAGTTGGAAAGTTAAGAAATTGTTTTCACGTTAATTGCGTTAGTTGTCGTGTTGAATTTTTTTGATCTTTCACCCTAACATGGAATGAAGACATGAAATATAAACGAACTCGACGTCATGTGCAATTTAAAATCACTTCGGTAAGGTGTTTATTACAGCCAGGTGCGTGAGGAAAAAATAAAGTCTCGCTTCTTCCAMCATTAATTGCCTCCAGCGTGAGTGTTAGTTTTCAACGCGGTTGGTGTGCGAATGACCTTCTTACGAAACGGTGATGGAATCAACCTGAAAAAAAATTAGGCCGTGGGAATACCCAAAGCACGCAAATGAAACAAACTTTTGGTGTGGACTCGCCATATCGAACACAGTAAATCATGATTGACGAAACTTCCAAAAGCAGAGACTGCTCTGACCAAAACGTGATACCAACCTTGTGTTTAAAACACGGTCATATTTAATTTTGCCTGTACCCTTAGTGCTTTTTTTTTTTAAGTTGCTTTTTACATACTTTCTTTTCCTTGTCATTTGTTCAGGATTTGACGGCTATAAATGTGAATAAAACAGGACACAGGAAGAAAGTTCTGTCTGAGTCAGCGAAACTTGAGGAGACAACGGTGTTCCCGAAGAAAAAACCGGTGAGTTTCCGACATTCTGAGATTACTTAATTTTAACTCAATTGATAAGACGACTACAGGTTATAAGTTTTTCTGACAGAGTCAGTTACGAGTCAGACGCGTCAAGCGTGCTCAGGGCTTAATAAAAATCGTACATCAACATTTCGGGATTTCTATTTTAATAGGATAACAAATTTGTGGAACAACATACCTAATGATAGGCAGGCTGAGTCTATTGACTCTTTTAAGCGTAAACCTAAGTCGTTTTATTTCGAGAGACTTTTCAACGTTTTTGATGGCGACAACTTTCTTACCTTTAAAATAATTTGTCCTAAATGTCGCCGGGTAAATACCCTTGTTGCGTGCACTTGTTAAGCGGCCTATTACTAAATATTTAGTCTATTAGTTAATATTTTTTAGGAGAAGGTTGGGTTGGAGCTTAAACCTAGTGGGGACTTATGTTCTATTGTTTTTGCTCCGGTACTGCTTGTACAAATCCTTAAATAAATAAATAAATTAATTAATAAATTAAAATCTCAAACGAATTAATGTCAGACTAAAATTGTCTCTTCCTCCACCCCTTCCGTCCTCGTGAAATTCTGTAAAATGCTTTTGGTTTTCAAATATTTCCAATATTTTCTGAGATTAGGCCATTTTGAAAACAGAAAAAAACCGTTAGAGAAGGGGGGGGTGGAAGGGGAGATTGGTATGACTGCAGCCATTGTGCATTCGTATAAGAAAACACTCCCGACTACATTTTGTTTCGCTCAATCGGTGCGTTACTTCTCTCGCAGGAAGATATTATGACGTGGCTGCGTCTGATTGGTCTAGAGCAGTACATACCTGAGTTCATGGACGGCGGTTTCGACGACATGGATTTTCTTCAGGACATGACATTAGAGGACCTAGTGGCCATTGGCGTAAAGAAACCAGGCCATCAGAGAAAGATATGGATGGCGGTTAACGCTCTCAAACAAGGAGATGAGAATGAAAACATGCTGGAAAGCGTAGAGGAGGAATTAACACCGCTGGAGAGGAAAGATTATTTAGAGACCTGCCTAGATGGAGAAGACTCGGGCGTGTCTACAGATGAAGTGGAGGCATCCGAAATTAGTACGGAGGAAAACCGAAGGAATTCTTTTCCTACCCCTGCTACACCGATAGAGAACACCACTGAGGAACCAATTGTGGAGGATTCTTCGTCTGCAGAGTCTGAAATTCCTGAAACATCAGCGGTTCAGCCTGTTGTAAAGGAGGAAAAAACAATTGTTGATGCTGAGCAAGATCAACAAAGAATTCCTGTTCCGGAAGAACCTTGTCTTGACGTTCAGGAAACGACAGTCGATGATTTGAATTTCACCGCCGATTTGTCACTATCGAAAGAAAAGGACGGCAATGAAAACGAACTGGACTCTTTGAGTTTACACGTACAAAATGTTATTTCATTTCCTGACAGTGACGATGACGAGCCACCTCCCCGCCCTCCCCCTCCAATGGAGGACATTGACTTGTCTCTACCTACCGCTGACCTGTGTCAACTTGAATTTGAGTTAAATGGCCCTGGTAGGTCCGTCAAGGACTTGGTGTCCAAAGGGAACGGTAGAGGGCGAACCTTGTCGTTGGACCCCACTTTTCAGAGACCCAAAAAACCTGCCCCACCTCCTGTCAAACCTAAGAGCGCAAAGAAGCCGCCGCCGCCGAAAGTGCCGCCCAAACCTCGAAAGACTGCATCGTTCACGGCAGGGTATGCGGACAGGAGCTCGGAAGAGAGAAGCGTTGGAGACAGATCACCAACAAAACCCACATCCCCTGAGTACCGTAAGTACCCTGTGGTAACTCTTTTTAACTCCCAGAGGTGATTAACATGTAACTTCTCCCTATAATATCCATACATTATCCAGCAAACAGATTGTGAGAATACTCAAACTTATCAGGTAGCAGTTGATATTTTGATCACACAAACCGGCCAAATTCTCGAAACCAATTTTGCAAGGAAATGTGTCGCAACCAGAAGGGAGAATTAACAATCAGATCTTGGGAGTTTAAGGGTCATGTAACAAGTTCTTTGCACTATGTAGCTGTGCCATCCCTTATGGGTCGTGTTGTTTTGGTGATTGTGTGCTCCTGTTTATATTATCTAATTTTATAATGTTTAACTGTCATTTCCTTGGTTTTTGACGTAATCTGTAACAGCGCGAACCAAAAAAACGCCTTTACAATGGTGTGAAACGTTAAAATTCAGTAAATGCAATGAAGTACTATCTTAAACACCTTTCTTTATTAAGCTAATATTTGAAGTGAGCGAACTGTTTTAACTAACTCCAAGTAACTTAACGGTAAATAATTACTGTGAACGCGTTTAATTATTTTGTGCTATTTTCGATTTCCGGCCATTGCTACTCGTTAAACCATAAACATCCGTTGTAGTAAATTCTTACGATTTCAACTGGTGCTACGTTCAACCACTAGATCCTTGCATCCAATAGAGCTGGGTAAAAGTGTTATTTAACACAAATATCATGCCATTCGTTCTCTGTATCCGTTTCGTTACATCACACCTCGCTTTATCCTGGTTTCATTTTGCCGAATACTTCTGTTTTCTCGTCAGAAGTGACTGAATTCAAGTAATCCATCATACACTTGGAGAACAGCCTCGCTTTTATGGACACAGGACTTAATCTCAGCGAAAGGCCCTCTATTCTAGATTGACGGACACTTAATTTCTGTCTTAATGACCGGTTTTCATTAGAGACAGAGTCGTTGTGAGGGTCGGAAGGGCGGTAACATCCAAGTCAAAACTTAAAATTGTCGCCTGAGGCCGACGAAATAGGTGTTGGAAAAATCAGGACTTTTCAATTTTCTTTTAATTGATTCCACCCATGAGTCTAGCACTTAAGATCTTTCTTAAAAACCTGAATAGAGATGTTCCAACCGCAAACAGAAGAGGCAGCCAATCAGAGCGCCAGTCCCCAGGCCCTCCGATGGCTGACCACTCCAGTAATTTAGTTTTCACAAGATGTCGGAGTCCTAAGCGACACCGTTATACTTCTTTCGATTAAGTTGGTTTGATTTTCAATTAAAATATCGTAATGCTCTGCGACTCCATGTCCTTGAAGGTCAGTTCTAAAATTTGATTCTCCCAAAACAAAAATGAGTAAGTATTTTTTTTTCGTGCTCTCTGCATTGGCGTAGACGATACGGGCACACACCGAAATGACTTTTTTATTGAAATGCAAGTATGACCCAGTGGAAAAATCATTGCGCGCTGGCGATACAATTTATGTGAATTGAATAAATTTATTTAATTATCAAATAGAATCAGGGATACTTTTGTCAAATTTTGAAGGAGCTGATGTTCCGCCTTGCCATCATGAATAGTTTTGAATAAAAATAGTTGAATCTTTAACGTGTGAGCGCAAGAACTTTGAATGTACTGTCTATTTAACTTGACTAATGTCAATTTACTAGACCAAATTTCGGGTAGAGGTCTGCACAGTGAGATTTCAAAATAAAGGCTCTTCACACGGCTTGTGATATTCTGTAAGCTTGAAATTTGTTTACATAAAAGGAAAACAAGTTATAAGTGTGTGACGACCACTAAGTTTAAAAACTAAATTAATTTGATATAAAATACGTAACACCCAGAATCTGACCCCAAAATCAATCGTCTCAGAAAAGTCACGTTACTAGTTTTATCACACCCTGTCACATGACCATTCAAGTCACGTGTATAGTTACTATCAATCACGTTACCATCAGGACGCAGCAGCACTGGTTCAAGTCCCTTCAACTTGCCGTCGCCTCCCTGTAATCGAGAATCCGGAAGCGGAAATGGAAGTGTACGATCGCGAAGCAGTAGCAATAGCAGCCATAGCTCGGTAGACTCTCTGATTGAAGAGACTGAAGAAAGGAAAAACACTTTCGAAAAACCAGGCAGGAAAATCAGCGCTCCTGAGAGATTCAACACATCACGTGAGTACACAGATGGAGCTCGAAAGAGTCCAGCGGATGCAGCGAGAGGTAAACAACAGCTACCCCAGAGATGGGAGCCCTCTGTCGGCTGGATGTAACCTTTAACTTCACTCCACTCCACTTCATCCTCACTCATAATAACACAATATTTTTTTACTAACAACTAACGAGCGATCAAGATTAGAATGCAATTTCGCATTCAAAAAATCTCTTTTATGCCCTTGACTTAGGTCGTGAAATAACTCTTAAAAAAACTTTTTAAGACTGTTATCTACTCCAGTGGTAACCGTATAACTAATCAACTTCCAACCTGTCAAATTGTACATGCTAAACCGTGTCTGATTAACCCTAATGAATAATATCTCTCTGTTCTCGAAAACTATTAGGGACTCATTCGGCCTTCTATGCACCAATAACGTCTCTGTTTTGCGTTAATGTTTTCCCTACTTAACTTCCTCTTTGTTTTCCTTTTCTGCTTTGATCCTTACAGCCAACTGCGATAATGTTATTTAATGTTAATAAAATTGAGTGAAGTAGAGAATTGTGATGGTTACTATAATGAACGTACACTTTAGGGATGCATTTTACCCTAGCTGATAAAAAGATGTTAAGAATTGCTATTCTTTTGAGGTCCGTGACATCTTTGAGCATTAACAACAACTGAAAATGAATTTTATTTTCCTAGCAACTTTTAATTTTCCTCTGTCAAATGACAATGTTAATGCTGTTAGATATTACTGCTGACAAAAGTTAAGTTCCCTTTCTTGTTATTCAAAAACCAAGTTTGAACTTGTCACAGTTTTTTTCATTAGAGGGTAAGGTGAAAAAAATAAACAAATATAAGACTTTGAGGTAGCTTTTCTGTTAATTTAGTTGTCATCGTTAGTTTCGTTTCTATAGTCCATACGCGAATTGTGAAATGTGACAGAGCCGAGTACTGTTATGCGACATGCTGGCCGGGAGGAATTCATACCAGTCTCACAATCTGCTTCCGTCGATTTCTTAACTCTCAACTGCAGTGATGAATTTCTTCTATCTTTTCACCCATATGATTTTGCTTATTATTTCTTCAGCAGATAGTAACTTAGATGAGCAGATCAAAGAAATCCTAAGAAATCGTTCTGGGGAAGATCTCTCTACACCACCCCCCTCAGGTATTTATCTTAGTCACTCCAGCTTGTGCCATTAAACGTTGGTGTTTTTTATATTCATCAGTTACATCAGACCTTTATGTAGACCGAAGACCTCTTAACCACCTCGAAAAAAAAAGATACATGGATTTCAAAATCACTTCACCAAGTGTCGTTTAAGTAAGGGGTGGGCTAGTGCAGATATTCCATCCTCTTTGTCCAAAGATAGAAGCTTATCTCATTTTATTTTCGTTACGTAGTTTTATTGATTTTTGTTTTCGTTTGTTTTTTCCTATCACAGAATCAGTTGAATCATCTTCAACTGTGCCACGCGTTGACACAAAAACGGAGTCTTTGAACATAGAAACGAAGGAGTACGAGTATGTATTTAACATTATCTTGTATATCTCTTCAATCGTTGAAGGATAAAGAATCTACGAGGCGCGTTTTCCACGAGAGATCTCGCGACTATCAATCTTTTACTTTGTCCCTGTCCCAGTGCTCCATAATTGCCTTATTATCAGGTTGTGGTTTTCTCTCCCTTTCCATGACTCGCTCGTCGCCCTCGAGAGATCTCGCGACTGGCAAGTGTTCATTTCGTGTGTGTCGCTATGTTGAACAGCTGTCCAATTTATCAGATTCTCTACCTCTTTGCAGATTGGCAGAAGATCTTATGAAGGACATCAACAGTATGCTGAGTGACTTCTCTTCTGAGCTAGATTCCATGTTCGATTGAGCATCAACTTGTATTTTATCGACAACATGATATAAAGGGTTGTAAAGATCACTTAGATATAATGACTGAGAAGCTGTTTAACAGATCTGATGGTGACGACGCTAAAAAATTGGTAGAATGTGCCACAATGGAAATTACTGTGCAATGAGGATATAACACTCCTGGTGTTGAGTTAATTCAGCTAATTACATTATTTTTAGCATTTTGGCAGCTTCTTCAATGCGAAATTGAAATTGATAGTACTATCGTTTAGTTTTGTCTGTTTTCCTTTATTTCGGAGAAAGGGATTTCTATATTGATTAATACTGTTCTCGAGAGCTGCAACTACTTGTTGATGCATATTTATTTTGATAGTCTTTAATTTGGAATCGCTTTTTTCTAGGTGTGGTATGGGTCTCGCATCTCAATTCCCATCTTTGGCGAAAATTTTAAGATCATCCAAATATTATATACCCAGAAAATAGGGTTACTAATCATGAAATTCACGTGTTGTTGATAATTAGCAATGTTTTTAAGTATTTCCAAGGGAATGCCCAATGAAGTATTTTTCTCTCGTTGCCAATGATTTTTTTCCTATCTTCCAAAACGAGGTATTTATATTATAGGAATGCTATCTTTTCAAATTTTGAGTTGTAATGTTTTGTTCAAAAAAATCCCACCCAGGTGTAAGTTGAACCCGTAGAATCTTTAAGCAAAAGGTGAAGCCTTTGACCGGTCTTTGAAAAGAATTTTTCTTCCAAAATTTCAATTAAAAGGATATATATGTTCTAGAAATAGCATTGCTTTAATGCTGAGCTGTAGCTTTAGTTGCGAGGTGATTTTATTTCCATCTCCTCTTAGGAAACTTGTCGAAGCAGGCGAATTTCTTTGTTATCGTTAGTAATAGCATTGATGGCATTCAAGTGTCTGTATACTAGCACCGATAGTCGATTTTATTATGGATTCTATAATAGACGAGAATTTAGTACACATTATATTGGAAATAAATTGGATTAGAAATATTTTTATAGTGCTGAGTGGCTCGATAGGCGGGCGAATGAAGCTTTTTCAATAGTAGTCTGTAGTCAAACATAGAGGGTGTTATTATTTTGAAAGAATAGAGCCCTTCTGGATTTCAATACACCATTCACATGCCAAAAATTCAAAGGAGTTACTTAAAAAAAAGTATAATTAATTACTTTTCTATGTATAAAGTTAATTTTTAACTTTATCCGTGAAATAAACGTATATGTATCTGAAAAGTGTGGTTGTCCGAACGAAACTGCTAAATTTGAGAGGGACGGGAACGGGGCGAGCTCAAGGGGAGAGGAAATACAGTGAGTTGGAGAGACATTTTATGTAACAGTAAACGACATACTTATTGCTATGTGCGCTGTGCTGCACTGGAGGTTAATGCGGGCACCGCAACCAGGAAGTCTCGATGATGTTGGACGGGCAAATTTGCAAGGGTTTCCAGCACACTAGACAGCCTTGAAACTGGTAAGTCTTTGTAAGATTTAAGTGGTCAACTTGAACTGCTAGCATTAACAAATTTATTTAAATTTTAGGCCCGTTATGTCAAGTCTATCCAAAATTGACCTGTAAGACACGAGTAAATTACAATGTTTGCAATATACGAGGTCAATAATTGTCTGATTATATCATTATCGAGTTTTGTTTTGCACGAATCATTTCGAGGGACACGCTCCGATAATGTAGGGAAGCGATCAGTCTGGTATTTCCCACTGAGGAACGTGGACATTTTACTCAGAGCGGAATATTAGTTCGTGGCAAAACAAAGTTAAACTAATTCAAAAAAATACAAAGGAACCTGTTTTTAGATCACCCCCGAATTTCTTTCCCCTTAATATTAATCACTGTAATTTTCACCTCTACTAAGCGGTTGCGGTCAACATCGAGTTGGTCCCCACGGCCTGTTTGTATCGTCCTCCAGTTGTATTTACTAGTCACTTGAAGTGGAACTACTCAAATAAAGCTAAGCGTAATCTTTCAGTAAATTTAATCATAGGTAAGAAACTGCTGATGCTTTTCTTGAGCTTGGGGAGGGTGACGGTGCATTTAGGCTTCCCCTTTTGATGCCTGTAATTGTACCTTCTGTATCCCGGCAGCAACTTCTTCTGCAAGGGAACGGTTTATGCTTTGTCTTAGACTGGGAAATGGAGTTTGTGAAAGTAAACTGAAATAATTGTTCAAGAACTTTAAGAACAGGACAAGAAAACAATACTGATACCCTTTCTTGTTATCGCGTTGAATGTCAACTTAAACGCAGCATCAAGAAAAGTTTACATTAAAACTATAAGGGCAATCCTTCCTCTTACCTTCTTCGTCCGTAATCGCTGTATAAAGCTCCTGATACCGAGAAAGACTTTCTTGAGTTAGAATCGAGGATGCTCGCCGACTATCTGATGAGAGAGGCAAAATACTGAATTTAACCTGTTTTATGCTCCATCGTATTTCATCAGGGAACCGAGAACATAAATGAAACTTTTATACTATGCTCTGGCAAATAATAACGTTCATGAAAAAAGATCCTTAGACTGGGATTGCGGGCATTTCCTCAGGAAACTTAACAAGCCGCCACATGTTGGAGTCAGGTCTCACCACAGTTCTTTGGAGAGGTAAATACATGATTATTACCCCTTCAAAACACAATGTGAATAAGACAGCAAACGTTATTGAGGAGAGGACACGTGTATACGTTACACTAGAAACGTTTGCCATGTTTTATCTTATTGGTGCAGTGGCCATTCCCACATTAGTCAAGCGGAATTTAAAGAAATAAAGAGCGAAAAGCAAAAATTAAAAGGATTACAGGTAATCAACAAAACGACCAAGGGTACGAGGGTCATCAAATATAATATGTTCGCCCGGATTTTACCAGTTTTATAACATAGCTTTAAAAAACTGCGCGCTCTGATTCAATAATACGCTTGATCCATTTACCCGTGAGTAGCATGCTGACGTCCGTTTGTTTTGGTTTTTTTATCTACACGAAACAAAAGATGTTTGAAAGTCTCAGTGTTGTTGCGACTCTAGCCTTAGCAACCCCCCGCGTGCATCCATAACTCGACGTCTGCACAGCGCACGTTAACCATTTCTTAACGTACAGGAGTGAACTCGTAATTCAGGCGAACTGGTAGGGTGCGAACTTGCAATCACGGAGGCGAAACCTCCTTACCCGTTTTCCCCACACATTTTTCATGCTTCCAGCATGCTTTGCCACATAAAAAGGCACTTTCGGGCCTTCTTTGTCTCGTACAAAAAATATATTACCTCTTTCCAATTTCCTCTGTAGGTTATGCACCAGTTGTCCATTGAAAATATTGCGGATGTATGGTGTCGGAACGGGCTCATGCAAAACACGGTTTAGATGGATGGCATCTCTCAAAACACACTGCCACTGAGAAAAGCTGTGTGCCGCTTGCACATCGAAGGGTTGGTCTTTGGATTTTTCTAAACATTCTCTCCATGAGCCGTCCTCCAGTTTAACACAACCGCAGAGTATGGCGGACAGATGACTGGGTTTCAATTTTGGGTTTGCTTTTCTGTACAGAAACCGAAGTGATGCTCCAACTAACTTAAGCTCCTCTGGCAATGACTTGATTTTAGTTGTGTTAGAATGAAGCGCGTCTAAGTACATCGCTAACCTCTTATCCAGATCGAGGCTTGGTATCTCACGCAAACATGGTATGTTTTCACCGTCGACGGGTGAGATAATTGAAGACTTGACCTGAAAACCCTCTCTGTCCCATTCTTGAACCGTCGTTCTGTTCCCGCCTTTCAACGGGGCACTGGCTAAAATTCCATACGTGAATTTTCTCAGAGGCTGAGAGCAGCGATTCGTCGACATTTCTTGAGAATTTTCCACTTGAAATTTGAGCAAGACTTTCCCCGACACCAAGCAGCTCATACAACTGGTGGGAAACCTTCCATCGCGGAACCAGCTCAAAACCCACTCTTCGATTTCTTGGTCGTTTTGAGCTTTCAGAAGGCTTGAGACATCGTTGCGTAAAAAATATCCTACCAAAAGCCTCTCTGTGATCGTGTATTCCTGGAGAGAAATCTCGACAGCTCGTCTTAACTCATTCTCCCCAGGAACACTTCGAAACACAAATTCTATAGCCTTTTCTGCTGTGGGTGCTTGTGAAAGAAGCTTGCTGATCTTTTGGAACTTTTGTTTTATCAAAGAAGAGAGAGTCCATTGGAAAGAATATCTAAAACATCTCAGAGCCAGAAGTTCTTCATCCCCACCCTTTGATACGGGAGAAGCGCAAAGCTTCTTTCAGTGGCAGTGCGATTTGAGAGGTGCCAGACAGCTTAACATTAAAGATACCGCGTATCCACGAGACTTTTAATGAACCACTAGCGCATCAGTTCCTTGAGGAGTTGGAACGAGGCAGGTCAATATATTGGCATTATTCATTTGGATAAGTTCTCTCGGTCTTCCCAAAAATTACTTATCTAAGTAACTTTTTTCAGGATGCATGCTGTTTTAGCATGTCCCAAAGCAGGACTGGAATACTGAACGCTTATTTCTAACTATGACATTTACTGGTACTATTTCGAACATTAATTGTAATTTTCGAGGAAAAAAACGGAGTGATCTTTTTCTCTTTCTCCTACCTAACCAAGTATCATACTGAAAGATCTTTTTTTTTTTCCTGAGCAGTTCGAGCGCTTAGAAAAAAACTTTATCATGCAGTAACCGATCGCTCATTAGAAGAGACTTCCCACCAAAATGCCGCGTCTAAGAAAGCGTCATCTGCCAACAGACTAGTCACGAGGAATTCTTTTGATGTTCTAGACGCGGACTGGAAATAAAACAAGAACAATGGACGTTACACTACCCACTGAGCATATACAAGACCTTTCCAATCTTCATATGAACCAAGAAATGCAAACATCAGACTAAATTAAATATATGGATTTTGTGGCAAGATTTATTTTTGCGCTAGTTAGGTTAGGAAGATAAGTGAAAGCATTTAAGCTGATCTGGGATCACCTTTAATGAACTGAATGGATCATGCATCACACGTATCTAAGACCGCAGTTCAAAATATATGAACTTCATATATACATTGTATCTGGATGGAATATGTAATCATTGCGTATTTCTTTTAGAGTTTTATGACAACCTTTGTTTTAAATTATAGTAGATGTAATAATTAGGGCATATTCCTAATTAGAAATTTCTCTTGGAGAAGATTTCAACTCAAATTTTTTGCTGTAAACGATTATCTAATAATTTTCAATCGTCACCAATACGTGTTTAGTATTATTATTCCGGTAATCATAGAGATGCACGCGCTCTGATTAGTCGAGGATTGTGTCATATCTCGCTTCGTACAATCAACTCGTGCGAGGCGATAACGGCGGGGGCGCTAAATTTCAAAATGTTTCTCAATGTTACCTAGTAAGTCATTAATGCGATGGAAGAAAATTCAATTCCGAAGAGCACAAGAGATGCTTTTATGTTTGGAATAACACTTTTAAAAAGAAAGATATGAAATGTTTGTGGATTGAATTAAATAAACATGTTAAATTCTAGT